ACATTAATGCCTTCCGGCGACTGACTAATTTGATTGTCTTATTTCATTTTCTGTTCGATGAAAAAATATTACAAAGATTGCACTGAACAACCTTTCCTGGAAGTGTCCATCAATGAAGCTTTTGAATCACATTCAAGGGGGAAACGGAACTTTTAACCCCGTGAGAACTAATTTAGTAATTCGCCTTTGGCTAATTGAATGAGTTCGCCGGCCAGTAGTTTTACCTTGAGATAGTCAACTATTTCTATCTTTGGCGCCGAGGTCATCCGCAGGATTCGAGCCCACATTTTGGGCATGTTAAGCGGATTCATCGCCGTCATTTCCGCTCCGCGGACACAGCCGCCCATTAAATATCGCAGGGGACTGGTGAAGTTTTCTCGCTTCGGGGTCTCCTTGTCGCCCGAAGTCATCGTCTATTTTAATTGCATTTCTGTTTAGTTAGCAGATTAACCCTTATTGTCTTTGGAGCTTAGCTGACATCGGGCGAAGTTTCGAGAGCCTTGGCTTATTACAGATTTTTTCCAATATGCTTTCCATATGCGTTTGTTTGACTGCTGAATTCAGCTCTGATTTGCTGCATTTACGTGTTGATTCACTTTGACACTTGCTTTGATTTGCTGGTGGGTATTTTCTGATATGTATGATATTCCTTGATATTGATATTCCTTTTTAATTAAGTTTTGATTTGCTGTTTGGTTAGTTTTTTGATTATATCTCCGACCGAAACTCAAATATTTCAAAATAATCAGAAAACGAGAAATTTAGTTACGACAACTTTTAGGTTTGATATGCATATGTTTCTTAAATTGCAATTGGCAAATATTAAAAATATATTATTTTCTTCTTCTTACAGTCTTTTATTATATTGTTCACTTTTTATTGTACTTTAAAAAGCTGTGTAAAAAAAATAATTTTTTTAATGTATGTATCAAGTTGTTGTTTTTATGAGTAAACTTTGTGTAATATTTATACCCTTGTAGAGGGTATTATAATTTCAGTCAGATGTTTGCAACGCAGTGAAGGAGACGTTTCCGACCACATAAAGTATATATATTCTTGATCAGCACCAATAGCCGAGTCTATCTAGCCATGTCCGTCTGTCCGTCTGTCCGTTTCTATGCGAACTAGTCTCTCAGTTTTAAAGCTATCGCGATGAAACTTTCCCGAAGGTCTTCTTTCTATTGCAGGTAGTACATATGTCGGAGCCAGCCGGATCGGACCACTATATCTTAAGGCTCCCAATCAAATATAAGAAAATTCATTGTAACTTTGTAGGAAGTAGGCGTTTTGATTCTTGACTACTTAAAAACAAAATTGAAATAAATCGAAACGCTGAATCTGGAATCCCTGGAACTGCACCGAGTGAGTATTCTTTCATCTACAAGGGTATATAAGCTTCGGCTGGCCGAAGGTAGCTTCCTTTCTTGTTTTTCACTTCAATCCCATAAGTTGTTATTGAGTTACGTAACCGCAATAAATGTCACAAATTAAATTGATTTGCCACTGTTTTTCTAGCCAAGTTAACTTGATTTTTGGTAAGCGCAATGGAGAATAAATATCCGGAGGGAAGAAAAGTTAGGTCCACGCAGGAAGAGTCGCTGAATGACTAAAATCTCAGACCAAGCCGCCCTGCTTTTATAGCCAACTGCCAGCAGCTTCGGGTGCGTGTTACACAGGACCTTTCAGAAGGATATGCTTCGTGTATTTTGTTGAATTCGCCCGTCAACTTTGGTTTCAATTTCAATCTTTTTCATTTGCGCTGAATGTGAAAAGAACTTGTTGCGCATTATATCGTCTTGCGAGAATTTTTCGTAGTTCTAATATTTACCCAAAAGCTATAAAATTATATATTTTTTTAAATAAAAAACATTTAAAAATGTATTTTTAAATAGCTTTTTTTTGAAGATTACATTTTTTAATAGGCAACCGCTTTTGGCTTTTTTTAACTTCGTTGCCCGCTTCTCGAACTTTCAAAGGCCGAGGCTACGATTCATCGAGCAGCATTTATCATAGGTCTCGCTCGGGGAATTGACTCGCTTCTTCACTTTGGAGAATTGCTGCCCCGCACCTGCATTTAACCCATACCGATCCACCCCGAACTCACCCGCAATATCCTGAAGGGGCTGTCACGCAAAAGGCAGACCTCCGCCGGCGGCTCTGCTGGCAGGATGGCCTCCAGCGGCGTGTCCGCATCATCGCCATCGATTTCTATCCGCTTGGGACCCGCGCTGCGCTCGATTATCATTGAGAATATCCAATACTGCAACGAGATGTCAATAAATTTACGTCTATTTTCGGCACGATATTGGGTAAAAGTGTTTTTTTTTTAATTATAAAAATAATTGGTGCTAAAACTATAGCGGCAAAATGGAAAATTCTAGATGACTGTTTTTTACGTAAGTTTTATGGGATTAATTTAATTGTATATCTATGCTAAAATAAATAAAATGCATACACTGCTTTTCATATGATTCGAAAATATGTGTTCAACAATTCAACATTTTTTATTGGGTTTTAATATATTTAAATGAATCTATAAAAGACAAAAAGCTACTTTATACAGCTCCAGATTTATAAACCTTTAGTATTGTATTAAATGGAACATACATTGGACTTTTTGGCCACTTAATTATTTATTTATTTATTTCTACTTATGGTACACTCACTTTGCTGTTGCGACCGGTGCTCCCGCTGCTGTTGCTGCGTGGTTTGGGCAGCAGCTTGGGCTGGGCCTCCATGAGGTCGGGGGGCGAAAGGGCGCCGCACTGGCTACCATAGACCCCGTTGTAGAGCTTGGGCATCCTTGCACTCGTAATCGTACTCGTACCGCTCGCCTGCCGGTCCGTGGACGCAGCTGTAATCGTGAAGGGCCGCTGGTCGCGACTGTACATGGTGGTTAGTAAATCGTTCGAATTTCGCTATTTATCACACATCATCGGGCGGCACAATCAGTGGGCTAATTAGATATTGATTGGGCTAAACGGTTTGCATACGCGTAAACCGACAGCAAACCAATTTAGATAAGCCGCCTGTCACATGATATCGCGAGATATGAAAGATAAGCCCGAGGACGACGATGTACTAGGTAGAACCGTAACGGACTAGAACTGAAACACAACTGCAACTAGGGCTAACTGTGAAGTAACCCCTGGCCAATTTACACGCACTTAAATGTGTATATATATATATCCTAGCTGGCTACCCCACCAAGTCAATGGCCGTTTGTCATTCCCCCATTTATAGCCACTGCCCGAGGGAATCGAAGCCGGGACTCCGTTCCGCCAGCCCATTAACTAGAACTGTCTAATTAATGCCTTGTTTATTTTCGCCACTCGGTCACGGGGAATTTGCATAAAGCCAAGCCCCACGAAATCCCGACTTACTCTATTTCCTCCAGCCTCATTTTGAACCGATTTCACCAAGCGAAGGACTCAAACTGCAAGCCTATTCGAAGTGCGTCGCAATTTCTAGGCGATTTTGTAACTCCTAATTACATTACAGAGATATCTATCGCACGATTTGGTCTCCGATTTCGCACTAATGAAATTGAAGGTACTGCCCCTCAGGTGAAACAAGGCTCTGATTATTTCCACGAACACTTGGCGATGAGTTGACGAAATTTCGAGGCTTTCGATTAGTCTAAGTGGTGATGGTGGGCAAATATTAGAGCAAACATCAGCCGACCGTCGGGTAAATAAATCCCTTAATGAAAGCGACACTTTAAGGGGTTACTTTGGGTCAGGAGATACGGGTTTTAGGAACCAATATATATATAGAAATACCTCTTAATACGTATGTGAAATAATAAAAAATATAATAGAAATATAAATAATTTAAGTGAGCCAAAAATTAAATCTTCTTTGTTACCTTAGTTTTTTTTAATTCTCGACTTTTAGCGTCCTTTCCTCACTTGATCAGCGTGTTAAATGTTTCCTCGGTGAGCAGCTGACAGGATGCACTTACATCTTCAATCGACTTTGAATTTAAAGAACTTGAACTTGATTTTGATTTCCGCCAAGACGAGAACGGAGCACACGGAGCAGGCACAACTGCGGCAGCAGCAGGAATTTTCCGAGTATTTTCGCACTGAGTTTAACCGCATTTAAGGCAGCTTGCCATATGTTTCACTGCCGATCCGTTCCTGCGACGTGGAGGAAGCACTACAAGAACGCGAGCAAGGACTCGGCAATGCCTGCGAGGGCAAAGCGATGGAGCTAAAGGATATATAGCTAAGTAAAATGTAAACTCTTGCACTTGTGATGGACAGCAGACACATTAATTATGAAACTAAATTAGCACCTTTCACTGGAAGTAGCTAGTCGTCCCTTAGAAGCTTCCTGCTGAGTGATTTGCGAACCGACAGCTCCGATAGCTGAACACCAACTGAACGTGGCAGCCTTTGGGGCCCTCCAAGTTTCCCGGCCAGAACGGTTTAGTCCAGTTCGGGGCGGTCCTGATAAGCTGTGGCAGCCTTTCGTCTCGTTTCGCCGCCACTGCCGCCATTAACACATTAACACTCAGACCCAATCGAACCGATATAGATACTAGATACCATATGCACACATGAACATCCACAAATAAGCGAATTGCCATTTTGTCACCCACATGGTGAAATAGTCGCGGAGCTCTGGGATAGTTCTGGATGCTTTAAAGGGCTTCTTAGGGAAGTGAAAGGCGGAAAAGTGATTTCCGAACAGCCAATCACTTTTGGATAGAAAATCAAGGAGTCTGAAAGATAGTTTACTAAAATGCTTCTCCTCAAATATAATAAACTAACTTATTGTAAATTTATTTTATAATATTTTACCGCTTTTTTACTATTCAATTAAAGTTCTTTTGTGTATGTAAGTTTTATTAAAGCCATATTTACTCTAACCTAACAAAGGACGACCTATTTCAGTGGGGTCAAGTCGCAGTCCCAGTCATTATCGCATTTACCTCCCATTCGCACTGAGATGGCCATTAGCAACTTCAATTAATTACTTTTCAAGTGTGGAAAATGACAAGTAAAAACTAATTTATTGAAAAACTTTTAAAATGCAAGGAGTAACTCAATTTAGCGAACAATAAACAAACGGAAAACAAACAAAAAGAAGTTCTCATTCGAGTGGAATGGCCATGAGTTTGCCGGGCAGATTGGAAAAGAAGAGCACCAATCCCAGGATAACGATCAGTATCAGCAGACCCCAGAGGACATATTTCCGAATCACGGGCCAGAGGATGAACCGCAAGGACTTGCAGGGATGCGTCAGTGGGTTGAAGGAGGTGTCCGGTCTGCTGCGGGTTAATATAAAAAACAAGAGAGAACGCTATAGTCGGGTTCGAGTCCCGACTATCTAATACCCGTCACTCAGCTAAAGGGAGTGCGAGGGAGATGGATATATACACTTTCTTTGATTGCGCATAACTTTTTAATAAATGGTCCGATTTGAAAAATGTCTTCTACATTTCTTCTACAAAATTGCATTTATACTTTTCGGACGGGCGTGGCGCCCAAAGAAGCCCAAGAATATGTGTGGGAAATCTCAAACTTCTAGCATTTGTAGTTTCCGAGATCTCAGCGTTCATACAGACGGACGGACGGACGGCAACTAATTGGCATTTTATTTCCTAACAATTAAATAATAAAGAATTCAAAATTGGAAAGAATAATAGTTCTATTCTACAAACCGTAGTAAATCGTAGTAAACCCTAGTTAACCGTAGTAAATCGTAGTAAACCGTAGTAAATCGTAGTAAACCGTAGTAAACCGTAGTAAATCGTAGTAAATCCTAGTAAACCGTAGTTAATCGTAGTAATTCGTAGTAAACCGTAGTAAACCGTAGTAAATTGTAGTAAATTGTAGTAAATCGTATAAAATCGTACTAAATTATAGTAAATCGTAGTAAACCGTAGTAAATCGTAGTAAACCGTAGTAAACCGTAGTAAACCGTAGTAAATTGTAGTAAATCGTAGTAAACCTTAGTAAATTGTAGTAAGTCGTAGTTAATCGTAGTAAACCGTAGTAAACCTTAGTAAACCGTAGTAAATCGTAAGTCGTAGAGTAACGGGTATAAATATTGAGGGAACTTGCAAAAATAACAAGTTATTTTTACAAAAAATACTGGCAGCTTACTAAGGCGGCTCCAAGGCCATCGGTGGATCCTGACCACGACCCGCCGGCCGGTTGGCTGCCTCCACATCCGTGCAGATTTCAATACTGAGCTGCATTTTACCCTGATAATTATAAGGTACTTAGGAATAACCACCTACTTAATAATAAACATCCACTCACTTTCTGAACTTTTGCCTGGGAGCGTTGCGAAGGATGCGCATTGCTTTGCAGCGGAAACCAGCCGCTGATGACCTTGCGCTTGAACAGATTAATGCGCTTCCTTTTCCTGGGAAAGGGCTTGCATAATTGGACATACGGATAGGGCGCGTACATATTGGAGAGGTTCAGCTCCAGGGCGGCCAGGTACTCATCCTTGGACAGCACATCCTTGTCCCAAACCTGCAGATATACAATCGGCGGCTTCTTGAACTCCACCTCCTCCAGGAGCCCCGCCTTGCGGTGGATAACCATCTGCGAAATGAATATTATTTAGAAGGAAACGGGAGCCAGCTGAATAATTAATAAGGGGAAGCAGTATTGTTTACCCTGACCAATTAGGCAAGGTCAAGGCTCACCAGGTCCTCGTTGGGGGAGTACTTCATGCCGAAGACCATGCGCCAATTAAATGCCGCATCGCCCGCAAATGAGCGGTAATGGATATCGGTCGCCTGGCGCTTGTCCTCATCCTCGCACCATCTGCAAAATATAGCGAAAAACGTCGGTAATTGCAAATCGTTTACTCGGATCCGCTTGTAAGCCACGGGTAATAAGCAGGGGGTCAGACCCCTAAAATGATACCCACTTACCCTATCACGTAGATGTCGCTCATTAGTTTGCCGAAAATGTTTTTGTCCCCCGACTGAATCCCAGCCAGATTCTTGACCACAACACGCACCTCAAAATCCGCCGGCGGAACCGGGGTTATATCGATGGGATTGGGCACATAGATGTTCGCCTCGAACAGCTCTATCCACAATTGGAGTTTACCCTGTATTGATATATTAAAATAAAGTATCAAAAAGGTAACGAAACTAAAAGTTCTATACAAAATATTAAGGCGGAAATTTTCATGACCAAAATGTTTTATGGAAATTGAATGCCAAAATTTAAGATTCCATTTTTAAATGCTAATTGATTCGGAACTTTATAAAGAACTTCACGCAGTAGAAAATTGGAAAAGTGTATACTGTCCGAAATATGACTTTTTAATCGTTAATTAGGCTGAATTTTTTTCTGTGTTCTTTTGTGATAATTCTGTTCATAATACTTATCATAGATTAGCTCTATAATATTGATAAATGTCTGTCTAGACCGAACATAACTAATTATAGCTTTCATGTGGCTAATTTATAGATACTTTGAATAATAAATTAATCATATCATTGAGTTAGATTGGGATAAACTTCCTAATTTTTAATTTACCTGTTCGACGTTTGGAAAATCCTCTCGATGAAGGGATCGTGTCTCCACATGCTCGGGCACCAGTTTGTAGCCAAAGGAAGGCAGCATGTCCATATTCTTAAGCACTGCGAGGCTAAGTCGCTCTTGCAGTTCCTCATCTGGAAATAAAAAAGGATTTTAGAGCTCATCGGCGTAAATATTTAACTAAAGGGTCTCCCACCCTTAGAGATCACTGTCTCATCCCCGAAAAGCATGCCGTCCACCTCGATCACATTCCCATAATAGTAGGGAGGCCGAATGCCGCGTCGTTGGCAGAGGTCGATGAGAATTTCCGAGGGCGACTTCAAGTCGTGCCAGTGATTGTAGCCACTCCGTGTGTACTCATTAGCCACACCCACGGTGGCTCGATGTCGGGACCTCCAGCGGTCTTCCAGATCGACATTGGTCTGACCGATCACCTCGTCCTTGATCTTATCGTGATCGTACACCATGATCTGCAGCATGTGATCTCCGGGCAGCGTAGCCTCCATCTCGAAAAGGCGGCCAAAGACGGGATTGCTACGATTGGGCGCGTAATGAGCTCTATCGGAAACCGTCTTGCCGCCCAGAAAGAGTTTCACATAGCAATCTGAGTTGCCTTTAAGATCTCGGGGGCGCATCTGAACACCCTGCACTACATAGACACGAACAATCAGCTTAATGGTCTCACCCAGTGACTGAAGAATGCTCTGATGTCGGGGATGTATGGCGTTTGGCAACGGACGAACCCTGTCGCCACCACCTTCGGGATCCTCGAGAACGGGACACTGGCAGGGGGTCAACTTGAGTTGCAGCTTTAGAGTCGCATAGACATCCTCTTTGGGCGGACCCTGCTTCTTGAACTTGACGCCATGGACCAACTGAACGGGCACCGCCCAATCCTGGAGGTAACCGAACTGAGCCTGCTTCTCCAGCTCCTCGTGGTAGATGACCAGGCGGTGCTTGTGCTCGTGGCTCATCTCCGCCGCACTCCAGTACATGGAGTTGTAGAACTTGGTCCACCAGGTGAACTCACGTCCCTCGTATAATTCACTGTCATCCAGATCGCTTTCGATCCTCAGGGACTGACGATTGGCATAGGCAGCGGGTCGCAGACCCACAGCGAACATGAGACTCCTCCACCAGCCGCGGATCCTCGACGGTTTGGCCTGCTCTTCCTGCCACTCCAGTTCGTCCTCCTCCTCGTCTTCCTCCTCCTCATCTTCAACCACACTAACCGTAGTGGAAACCTGCTCCCTTTTCGGCACACACTTTAGGCTCCTGTCGCGTTGCAGGAAACTCGAGGAATTGGGTATAAGAGCAGCTCCCAGGGTGGACTCGCTACTAAAGCCGGAGAGCAGGACATCCGTGGCAATGATCGCTGGCCAGTAATCCTGCTGATCAGGAAGACTCTGAGGGGGGCAAGGTATATATATATACATGGTTTATATCCATAAGGTAATCCACTTACCACCACACCCGAAGCATAGGCCACCAGGAAGTTAATGCTGTTGCGAATGCGAGCCGTGGAGGGTCCACTGGCCAAGACGAGGTCACCCATCATCACCTTGATCTTCCTTTTCCCCGCCGAACTCATGCTGCTTTTGGAGTAGTTGCGCAGACCCACAAAGAAAACTTCCAGGCTGTAATATAAAATAGATAAATCCTAGTAAGGTATCAAAGGTAACAAACTCACACAAAATTCTGCATATTGGGTCTTATAGCAGCTGGAATGCCCGTGGCGAGATGTGGCTCCTTGTTAATAGCCTGACCAGTGGGATCCGTGGAGAGTTCGATGAGTTCCGCGGACATCAGGACCTCCGCTTGAACTGATCCCTTCCTGGCTAGTGGCACCCATTTAAGGGGAGGTGGTGTCAAGTGCTTCAATCTCTGTAGCTTCTGCATCGGACTCTTTGGCCAGCCCAATCCTCCGGGATCCTCCCAACTGGAATCAGTGGCCTGATCCTCGCTGATAACGCTCATAGCCAGACTTCCCATGCCCACGAGATCATCGGGTAGGCTGCGTTCCGAGTTGTAGAACTCCAAGGAGAGAAGCGGGGGATTCTTTAGATAGAGATTAACTCCTCCTGGGAGGGATAACAAATTGAAGGTGATGACGGCATTCCAAATGGGCGAAAGGGTTCCAGGAGATGTGTATGTTTCGCAGGCCTGGTCGGCGAACAGGACCCTCAAATGGGAGTCGCAGATGCTCCTCTTCTCGCCACCAGGACGAACTTTAGCCTGATGAACGTAGACGTGGCAGAGGAAGTGTGTCTGTCCGGGATTCGGCTGCCACAGCATGGGCTCGATGCAGGTCCAATCCTCACTGATCGCCGAGAGGAACTCCTTTCGCTCCCGTTCCACCACAATGGCCAAGCATCCTGAAACTATGGCTGAGGTGCAACCACAATTGGGGCAGGTGTGCGTGCAACCGGAGGCTTTGAAGGAGAAGCTCCTGAGACGCCAGCAGAGCGTCTCCTGCTGCTGCAGTTCGGTGTTCTGATTTTGCAGATGCAGAAAGAGCTTGGCGTTCAGCCGGCAAACTCCCAAATCCTTACCACCTGCACTCAGGGAAAGAACCAATTCGGGCCACTCGTCCTGCAGGCGAGCCATGCCAGAAAGCTCTCCTATCTCAGCCACCAGGCGCTGCAGCTCACTAACCACATCTGCAATAGATGCATCCAAATGTTCCAGGAAGCAGGTGCGCAATCTCTGCTTCAGCTGATGCAGCTCCTGCGGCAACTTGGCGAAAAAGTCAAGGAGGTACAGCTGCCGATTGATGTCCCATGTGGTGCGCTGTGGCTGAACATCGTGATCGAATCGGTGGGCATCTAGACCCTCCTTGATCCTGGTCAAAATGTTGCCCACTATTGCCTTTAGGCACTTGGCCTGCTCATCGAGGAGGTGATTTTTCAGCTGAAAGACCTTGAAGGTATCCAGCTCACCGCGCTAAAATTAAATAGGGGTGTTACTAGAAGCTACAGAATGAAAGTACCATACCCACCATATAGTTGGCTATATCCAGCATGAAGAAATCACTTTCAAACTTAGCTCGATTATCCGGCAGGCGCACACGAAACATGCAGGATCGAAAGGGTGCCTCCCGGCGGAAACTTTTCGAATTGATGGCGGATCGAAAGCGATCCAAAGGAGTCCTCAGGGAACCCTCCAGCACATTCGAGCTGTGTTCGGCCAATCTTGCGGAGATCTTGTAAGCGGAAGCCGAGGTCTGAAGGTGTTGACCCAGCAGGGGAAGAAACTCAACCAAATAAACGTCATCGTGCCAGAAACGAGTCTCATCCAAACCGGGCACTGTTTTTGAGGACAAAGTGTGACTAGGCTGCACATCATTCAGCATCTCAGAGCGCAGTTCCATTAGCAGGCGACCCACATAGGTCATCGGATTGATAGGATCGTAAAGGTGTAGGTAGGTGGGTCCCAGAGATGGAGTTCCTGTAAGAAACCTAAGTGGTGACCCCGAGGTGACCCCGAAGAGACAATAACTCACCCTTAAAAGCAATCTCTTCGAGCGACAACTCGAATTCAGCCACACACTTCCATTGCAGATGCTCATGGGCGAGTATGAGGATAAGGAATCGCTGCGCCACCGAGGGATACATCCAGGCGAAGTTGATCTCGTGGTTCCACACCGGCGTCGACGTATTCCTGGCCACCGGCGTTTTGCCCTTGAAAGGATGGAATCTGTACTTTAGAAACGGAAACGCAAGTCAATGTCGAGAGCCAGATACATTGAAGCCGGCAAACGATACTTGAATCATGTAGTTGCTCTGCCTGATGAAGTAACCTCGATAGAAGGCGACGAAGTAGCGAATGTTGCTTGGGGCAAACGAGCTCACATTGGTCAGGAGGTTTCTAGGTTTTAATAATAAGAGATAGATCGGGGAGATTCTTATATTTGACCACTCACCTTTCGATGTCATCGTAATCATGGTCCACTGCCCATTTATTTAGGTGCTGGCTGTCCTGTTCCTCAGATCTCAGTCCAATGGTCACTGGACTGTGCTGGGATACGATGGCCAGATCGAGTTGCAAGTAGCCGTGAGATTCGGTGGTAGCCTCTAGGGATTGGTTCTCCCCAATGGGCGCCTCCAGTCGGCCCCATTTCTTAAAGTAACCGTGATTGGATTGATTCCACACACTGTGCAGATCCACCAGCAACTCGCCCACCACCACATTCTTCTTGTAGGTCATGTGCTTCTTCAGCTCGAAAAGGATCGTCAGACGCAGGAGCTCGGTTAAGGTGCAGTGGAATTCAAATACAAAGTACTAAGTCAGGGATGGTCTATATAATCAAATGGAGGTATATGGCTTTAGTCAAAACCCACCTCATTGAAAAAGGGATTTTCGGTATTCGGGTACGACTTGGTGCTCTTGGTCATTTTGTCCAGACTGATCCGCACGTACAGGTCTCCAGAGGTCACTCCCACTTGCGCCGCTTTGTGGACGGTAATGCAGATTAGAAACTCCTGCGGAGCCCCGGCGAAACACTCCTCCATATAACTCATTATCTGTCCAACTGGTCTGGGGAGCTGAGTTCGGGGATGGGCATTTTTAAAATCGCCCCGAAATTTGAGTGGAAAACAAGTGCAATGGAATTTCAGGGCTTTGCATGAGCAAAGGCTCATGGCTTAGTTCGTTTGCTCAGAACGAACTTTAAATATTTAACATTTTTTGAAGTTGACAAGATTTTTTTTGACAATATTCTGATCCAAAGGTATTCTTTTAAAATATATTTTAAGTTAATTTTTTTATAGTTTGTAATTAACTAACTGATGAGAAGCCTTTCATCAAACTACACAAAAAATGATTTTATTATAGTACCAATGAAAATAAATAGAAAGAGGTATTTTCAATTTTTTTTTATTTTATTAAAAAATGCTTAAGAAATTATTTTAATCATCAACTTCGAAATGTTTAATACTTTTTAAAAAGCATTAGTAAAGTATGTATGTTATGGCTTTATTGGGTTAAAGATAACACCTATTTCCATCTGTCTGGCAACGATGAAAAGCTCTGACATAGACTTTTTCGTTTGGAGTAACTGGCGAGCCGAGCTTTCAGCCGGAGCAACCTGCTTCCCGCGCATGTATTGGTGGTGGCTGTGGCTGGTTCAGTAACGTAGTGAGCAGAGCAGCTCGGCAGCTCAGAAGCAAAAAACGGCTTCAGTTCGAAAGCACGCTTCCAAGCAGACGGTCGTCGATTTTGATTCAGAGTGCTGAGTGAGTGACGAGTGAGATTTAAGCCACGATTCGAGTCGAGTACCGAGTGCAGTTGCCGCGGTCGGTGCCTGGAAGCCAAGGCGTCCCAAGCCAAAACCCTACGCTCTCTTCTCGGGCCCCAGTTTCAAGCCATCGGTGCGTCTCTATCTGGATTTCGCTGTGTGCGTGATTTTGTGTATAATTTTTTGCGCGCGCTCAATCAAAACAGTGCTGCGTACTCACCGTTTACTTACTGTAGTCCCCAGCATCAACAATATTTACCAGTCAAACACCACACACCTTAAAAAGAATAATAATAACAAAAGTGTTGTGCCTTTTTTTTCGCTTCACGAAAAAGTTCTAAAATATTCAAATATTCCGGAATCATTGCAGTTTGATACATCCAGTGGGTCGTAAATCTTCGACGAACCGTAAATTATTAAACAGCTCGCTACGCAGCGTGCTCATATTTTACAGGTAAGTTTTTGCCTTAGTTTTTCGGAGTGCGCATATTTCAGAAAACGAGCCAAAAAAAAAACACAAGAAATATATACGAAATAAGCAGAGCGAGTGCTGCTGTTCCCAGAGAAAAGCCACCAATCCACCGAAAAACCACCCACCACCCACCACCACCCACGCCCTTGGGCATCCATCCCATCACAATCCAGGCCCAGCCCTCGACCATCCGCTTTGTTGATACGCACACACTTTTTGCGTCGCTCCTGCTCCTGCTGCTCCTCCCCACCCACCCCCTTTTTTTGATTGCTGATGCTGGAGCCCCCAACTCCGCTCCTGGATTCCCTTTTGCGCTCCTGGTCTCGTGTACCGTTGTCTTTTGGGGCCGCTGCCCTGGCATCTGTGCCACTTTTCAATTGCGCGGCCTTTCTTTATGTTTATCACTAATTCTACCTTGCCTCTCCAATCGGGACACCGAAAAAAAATTAGTCTACCTGGTATATTCAGTTCCTAATAAAGTCCTAGTTACTTTTAGTGACTTTAAACTGTAAGTTGTAATATACGTTTTCTAGATCGTTTACCAGAGAACGAGAATGTTGGATTTTAGGTATTAAAACACAAATATGTTTTAAGAAAACATGCAAAAAAAAAAGTATGTTAATATAATAGTTATTATTATATTAACATACTTTTTTTGCACTGTTTCAAATCATACAAAAGTTAATTAAAATTGCGTATTCCATCACATTCAATTTTAATTATATTGGTCTACTAATGTGACAAACAGGTTCCTTTTGTTAATTCTAATTGTAATAAAATTAGTTAGGTGTATTACACATATATTTTTCCACGTGTATCTGCAGTGAAAGGTTCCCTTTAGCCAGTTCCCTCTCCATAGCTCTGCATGTCTCTCGTTCCTTTTGTTGTAGAGTGTGTAAATTTTTGTGCAATTTCTTTAGCTCCACCGCCATTCGCTTTTTGATCTTGAAAACATGCTGACTCCGAGTTCTCTCCCCCCAAAGCAACCTGTCCGCTCCACGAGAGTTTCGAACAAGTTTGTCAGGAAAACCAATAAAGCAAGTAGAATTGCTTATTGGAAATGAGCAAAGAACGAGACGGCGATGTTAAGAGAGAGAGAGAGAGAGCGCGAGCTAAAGAGCAAAATCCCACAAATCTCGTATTTAATATCACAATAAATGGGGGAATGGGGCTACGAGGCTGATTATGATTATTTTCCAGAACTGCAGACTCACTTTTATTTCGTTAGTTTATTCCCTCGCCAAATTACCAATTAAATTATTCAAAAATGTTTATCTCTGCACGGAAATGTGAAAAATTATATAAACGTTACGTGACTGTAAGTTTATGTTTGATATTAATCTCTTAATCAGTCTGACAACAGGCTCGTAAGTAATATTTAAAGGGGTGAAAAGAGAACAAATTTATTCCGCCAATGTAATAAATTAAATCCAAACCTGAAATAGAGTGTTCGAAATTAATTGCACACATAGGCTATAAATTTGTGTTTCACAATTTAACTCTGACAATTAAAGCTAAAATATTTTACGAATTCCATTGCTAATTCAGATAAAAAAGGCCGCAAGCATTGTTGACATTTTTATGAATTATTTGAGGGTCCTTTAAAATGCAAAGCAATTAAATATTTAAAGCTGGTTGAAGTATGGAATGCCAGGGGAATTTATTTAAAGAAGTAAAGAAAATAAAAGCCAAAAATGTATTTTAATGTGCAATGAGTTAATCAACTTTAAATATATATTTTTATAGGGTATTTCTGTTACATTAAATATTTATTATCAAAGTTACAGTGAAGTATTCAGAATTACTATTTTCCAGCTACAAGCCCTTTATAAAAATTCTAAGCAATGCAAATAATCTCAGTAAAGGATTGATGATTATTTCCATACCATTTATTTCCAAAGTGCAGCATAAACGTTTTCTGCATCTACTTTCAGATACCTTGAGGGTTCGAAAGCATTTTGCATCATATCAACCCTCTCAAATCTCGTTTGCTTAGGGGTTTGGAAAAACACCTGCCAATTGGGAGTGAGTAATTGGCTTAAAAGTGGCTCTTCTAGCTTCCTATGGGTTAGATAAATCGAAATCCAAAGGGGTAACAAATCACAGAAACTAGCTTAAGCAGGTGATGAGCTAAAAACTTATGTATGCACTTCGCGAGGGAGACTTGTAAAGATGCAGGCTGCTGCACCTGCAACTGCAACTGGGTGCCAAAAACTTGGGTAAACATTTGAGGAGGGATATCTTCGTCTTTCGCCTCGAATCGAAGGCGTGACAAAGTGATTCACAGCACTCCGAATAAACCGTTAACCGTGTTTGCCAAGCCAACCCGTTTTGGCATAGACAGAACTTGGTCTAAAGAGTTGGCCAAACTTTCCATTGGCAAATCGCAGGTGAGCGCACGCTAATGCACAGCCAAAAGGCAATAACTCAATTGGCAAATATCCGCAGCAGTCGCAGAACCATGAAGCTGCCTTGCCGAAATGTGCAACATAACTCAATTAGTGGAATAGGAGCAGTGAGTACAAAACAGCAGGTTGTCGAAACGACGCCTCAGCGAGCATGAAATTGGCCAAAGGCCAATGGATTTATCATATGTAGTAAAGCGAACCGAACCCCTTCATATCCCTGAGTATAAAGACCACCGACTCTTCGACGCTTTAGCCCCCAAAAACTCGATATTAAACGACTCTTTTTAAGCGCCGCTCCAAGGTGAACGGGCCACCCTGAACACCCTGAGCAGGGCCGAAACTGGACAGTATCTGTATTTGTATCGTATCTGTAAATGTATCTGCAAGTCCACTAAAACGTATCTGCATCGGGTTACGTGTTGCGCATGCGTTGTCTCTGCATATTTTATGGTAATTCGAACTTGATCCACTCGCCGCCTTGGACTTTCACACAACATATCCTCATGAACCACCCTCTACTTTTATATGTTCTTCGCTGGTTAGGTGGAATTTCCCACAACCATCTTGTATTACACGGGCTTTCCGTTTGTGGCTCGAATTACGGCCGCATGGTGGCAAGTTCATTGCTTCTAGTCGGTGGTCAGTGCTCAATGCTCAGTGGCAATTAAAATCAAGCCAGCAATTCTTCACCCGGCAACACTTCATTCCAGCATTAGATCTCCGCCTCTTTGGCTTAAATTGCCTGCACTTTCAGCGGAAACCAACAGTACACATATTTCGAATGGCAGTCAGTCCCACTGTGATTTGCGGCAATTGTCCAGCCATCTGGTTGACCGACCAACCGACCATCCGCCTTGGGGCTTGGGATACTTAATCGCCCTGGACATATCTGCGGCTTTCCATTCGGATCGATTCGATGCTAGTTACTTTGTCATTGTCTCAATGCAACAATGCTCAATCCCAACCGAAGTCCCTTGTTGGCCATTTCGCAAACGTTTCTATCCGCAATGCAAACTGTCATTGATTTAAGTTAATTAAAAACTTTAAGCCCCGTCAGTTTGAGTTGGAGCTGCACAGAAAGTAAGAAAACTAATCGTGTTACACAGTAGAAAAAAAGCAGCCTAATTTATTTATGGTTTATAGGTTTATTTATATCTTTCATGGACCATCTCAGACAGGTGTTTGTAAATATCGAAACAATATTATTTATTTCATGGGCTAATATCAGCTTAAAACTGAAATACAAAGTCATTAATTGAATCATTATAAAAACTTATTAGGGACTTAGTATACAGATGCAATTTACTTTTTTAAATTTAAACAAATTTTTCAAAGGAAAACCTAAATTACAGGGCAAGAGAAAATCTCCTTATGTCATGATAAGTTTTAATCGTATGGTTAATTCATAATCACCTCTCGCGGCCCTTGGCAATTTTCCCATCGGTATCTCTTTGTCCCATTTTCTCATTTCTTATGCCCAGCAGGTGCACATAAGTATTTCCCTGACACATGATTAATGAACCGAAACTAGTAATAACTGCACGCATTGTTCGGGAAGCCAAAAATACAAAAAACTAAAGCGGACTGTAAAATGTCTACTTTCGCAAGCCATGAAAATCTCCAGACAGACAGCAAAACACAAAAAAAAAACAGATTGTGACGATTGCGCAATTGGAAATGCGTAACTTTGATTTCTGGACTTAATTGAGGGGCCAGGGAAAGTAAGTAAAGTAAGGGGCTCCAGCAATTAACGCAGTTACCCACTTTAATCGCTGCTCGCCCACCGAACTCGGAAGCCCCCAATCAACAAAATAATGTTTTCATTTGTGTTAATCATTTGTAATTGATTGAAATGTCCACTGTCGACGTGGATCGAGTGTGCGTCTTAAGTTCATTTTGAAATCTTGTTTGACTCTTTTTCAAAAAGAAAACAAAAGTGAAAGTCCAAATATGCAAGGCGACGTGCTGCTGCAACAATGCATATTAATTTTTGTTTTGTTTTTATTTTTTACTTTTCTGATGGCACGCCTCTGGGTATATTTTTTGGAATTTTCTTTGCTTCGCATATATGCAAAGCGATTAACGCCAAAGAGCCAAAAACGCGCGTTGGCAATTGTTTAACCGTTTCTACCCCACCCTCTGAGCCAAATGCTCATGTTTGGCACAAAAGAAGTAGGCAAAGGTTTACTTTGGTGTTTGCCTTTATTTTTTCGCTTTTCAGCTGATGCAATTGGTCTATTACACATACAAGTTTTGGGGATACAAAGCACAGCAGGTGGCTGGACGAGTTGGCTGGGGATTTTATTTTGGACTCTAGAGTAGCGGTTCAGTTTGCTTATTTGGTTAAGTTTTATTTGCCATCAATTCGGACTGACACCAAACCGATTGCATAAGATTTCTTTAATGCCTAAAAAGTTCAGTATGTAGAGTACACATTTTATGAGGACATTTACAGCGATTCACACCTTCATTTAGCAAGTAAATTAAAAAAGGAATGTATTTATAAATTTATTTATTAAGGAAATCGTTTGTAGATACAGTAAATTAAATATGCAATGTTTAGGTACCTTATAA